ATATATATATAATTATTATAATTTAATTTTTTTTTGGTGAGTGATATACTTGTTATTCCAAATAAAAAAAAGTTATGTTTAAAAATGAAAAAAAAAAAAAAAACATAATTTAAGAGGAATTTTGTTAACATCAAAATTGCATTTATATTTATTTAAATTGCAAAAAAAATTGATACCACCAAGTTGATAAAAAAAAAGGTTAAGATAAAATATAGAACATAGAACTACTATTTTTAATAAATTGTTTTAACCAATTTATTTTAAAAGTGCTATTTAAAGTTGTGAAATCCACAACATTCAAATCACCCTGATGATATGGATATGCAAATATGGTTGAGTAGCCATTCTGGCTGTAAAAATTATGGTCCCGCCTCCCATAGCCTACTGAAAAGTGGATTCTGAGATTCTGATAGGTTGGTTAATTGCTGTCAGGGGCGCTGCTATGGATTCTGAACATACTGACTCGGGCCCCTGTGTTCCTCGGGGTCCCCCTCGGTAGAAATCGCATACCCCGCATTGTTATTCAGCAATGAAACACAAATACAACCATTTAAAAAGATTAAGGGCTTTTATTATAAAACTACCACATATACTTTAATATTAATGTGTATTAACAATGAACAAATACACTACAATACAAAACCAGCTAATCAAGGTTTTCAGACTCACTATAGAAACTCTGTTTCTGGAGGTTTTCACCAGTGCTCTACACCAGGGGTGTCAAACTCGATTCCTAGAGGGCCAGAGCCAGGCAGAGTTTAAATTAAACCCTAATTAAACACACCTGATCCAACTAATCAAGTCCTTCAGGCTTATTTGAAAACTGCATGGTATGTGTGTTGGAGCAGGGTTGGACTCGGGCCCCTGTGTTCCTCGGGGTCCCCCTCGGTAGAAATCGCATACCCCGCATTGTTATTCAGCAATGAAACACAAATACAACCATTTAAAAAGATTAAGGGCTTTTATTATAAAACTACCACATATACTTTAATATTAATGTGTATTAACAATGAACAAATACACTACAATACAAACATTAACAACACACTTTTAAACCATAAAATAATAAGTATATTTACTGTATTATTATAAAAAAAAAATTAAAAAAAACATCATGCAGAAAACAGTGATGTCAACATCCAGGCCAGTTCAAATCTTATCCAATGGTGTCAGTGCAGTCAAGTCAATAAGATTGCTAAATATTAAGTTTTCCCAACCAAACAAGCCATAGGTATCAGTGGCAAGGAACGCAAACAACATCAAAACCAGGATCAGTCAGGAAACCAGTTCTTCTCTGGCCAAATGAACAAACATGGTGCGATTATCATACCAAGCCGCATCACAAATCAGATTGTGTGCAGGGTTGGAACAAAACTCTGCAGGGCTCCGGCCCTCCAGGAATTTAGTTTGACTTCTTGTAGTCTTCTGTTTGATCACGAGTGCTCTTACACACAATGCAAGGTGCATGAAACTATATTTCTAGAGTTATTGTCTTGATTTAAACACTTGATTAAAAAAACTGAAGGTTCCTATTAAGCCTATTAACCCTGCTCCTGGTGCACTGTCCTGCAAAGTTTAATTCCAACCTGCTTCAGCACTCCTGGCCTGTGAAGTGATCCTGAAGAGCTCTGTGACACTGGGTGCATTTGGGTTGTTTAGATATCTTTATATACGTGCTTTAATAGGATACACAGGGTTTGTGTTTGTAGGTTACTGTTCCTTTAAGATTGGGAACCCCTATTTATAATGTCAGTATGCAAATATGTTTTTGTTTTAATTGACTTTCAAAATTACAATATTCAGCAAGTTCTCGAGATATTTCACTTTTTTTTTCCATTTTGCAAGCACAGATAGAAAAACAGCACTAACAATAAATTGAAATAACAAAGGAAATTAAAATTAAAGGGCATCACAAACACGAGTTAAATTCATTTAACAGATCGTTTTTAGGGCTTCTTGATTTTTTTTTTTTTTTACAAACTTTACAGATTCTAAATAAACTTTAAAGGCTGTTACTTCATTTTGTCTGATGAACATGAAATTTTCCTAACAACAAAATCAAATCAATAATATATATTTTTGTTTTGGAAAAGTCATATTCATTTGAATGAAGTAAAACTGATGACATTTAGGACTAGGTTGCAATTCAGTTTAACACTTAGAAATTGTGACCAAAATAAATATGAACAGGGACACAACAGACTCTCTTTCACAATTACAAAAAGAACATTTGTAATCTATACCCAAATGTAAATGCTGTAATGTGTCTTTTGCAGGATATATTCTGTGAGCAATTTTAAATGATTTTTCTTTAGCTTTATTTGTTATACAATAACGACTAAGAACCTTCCAAAAATGTTACCACACAAATGAGGGAAATATATTTACCCAAACAAATGTTGATGGAGGAGAAGAGATATTAACAAAGAGAGATCTG